TCTGCACTTCCCCTTGTTGAATTTCATCATGTTTCTCCCCGCCCAATTCTCCAACCTATCTAAGTCTCTCTGAATGGCAGCACAGCCTTCTGGTGTGTCAGCCACTCCTCCCAGCTTAGTGTCATCAGCAAACTTGCTGAGGGTACATTCTATACCCTCATCCAGGTCATTGATGAAGATGTTGAACAACACCGGTCCCAGTACCGACCCCTGTGGGACTCCACTAGTCACACACCTCCAACCAGATTCTGCCCCATTGACTACAACTCTCTGACTCCTTCCTTTCAACCAGTTCCTAATCCACCTCACTTCCTGATCACCAAACCCATACCTGATCAACTTTTCTACAAGGATGCTGTGATGTTTATTATTATTCTTTTTTCTTGGCAAAATTGTTTGTTGTAGTGAAAGCTTCTAGTGATAGCTAGTGGGCCTCGAAAGCCACAGGATACCTGTTTGGATGCAATTGAGCAAAAACATCAGTCACAGGAGAAAGAAAAAAAGGGTATTGCTTGGTAAAGTACTGCTGTTGCTTGTCCTCTGGCTGTTCGTGTGCAAAGGTTGTGTTTTTGCAGAAACACAGCTAAAGGAAGTTGATGTAGTTGTCTTGCAGTGATTTAATTGGAGAGCATGGTGTTCAGGTGGAGGAAGAGAACAAGCAGGATTGATATGGGATACCCAAAAGGAAATATATCTGACTTCCTGTTGCTCTGTGTGAGTTTTTCTATTCCCTTTCCCTCATCAGGAAGTTTGTAGAAACTTCAGTGCTACACTAAATTGTTCAGATGGTGACCTGTGCCTCTCCTCATCTCTGGTTTCACTGCCAGCATCGTGGTGCTGAGTGACATTTTATCATTTGTCACAAATTTGCACCAGTTGTTTAACCAGACCCATCCTGCTCTGTGAGTTTCGGGCTCTCTTGTAGTAATGATTTTTTCATAGCAACTGTAAACTGGTTACTGTTATACTTGTGCTGATTTGGAAATTTTTTTTTAATGATGCTGAGGAGTAAAGATAATGCTATTTCAGATAGGGAGAAATGTAGGAGGCTGCAGAAATTATAAACAACTAGAGTGGGATATAGCAGAAGTAGCCTGCTTACAAGGGCTGGCAGAGGGATATAGGAGCACATTCATTTTTTGTATATCTGTAAAGAACTGGGCACCAAATGTCATGTGCTGTGGAAAAGATTGCTTTAAAATGGTGAAAACATGATGCTGAAATACGAGTATATTTAAAACAAACAAACAAAAAAATTTAAGAAACTTCAAAGGTGAAAAACATAAGGGAAGGCATGGAAGACAGGTAAGCAGAAGGAAAGAAAAAACAAACATCTGATTGTTTCCCTGTATTTGAACATTTGGATTTAAATGAAGAAGAGATTACTGAACAGATTTTAGAGATTTTGTGTGGAAGAGCAAAAAGGAAACAAGAAATATTAATGCAATTATAATAGCCATATTGAAAAGAGGAAACATTGATCATGAAGAGTTTCACGTAACCTGGTATTAACTGGTCTGTATAATACGGAACAGAAATCATTGTTCTTTAGCAGTTTCAACTTACAATAGTTGCAGTGATTGAAAATTGCATTCAGGAGGAGAAGTTGAAGAAGCTAGGCTTATTCACAGGAACAAAAGAAAATTATGGTGACCTAATTCCAGCTTTTGTTGTGCAGAATATACCAGTATCGATAGTAGGACAAATTACTCTCTGTTAAACATGAAAGCAAGATTCATATGATGCTGCTGTGCTGCACTACTCTTGCTTTCAAACAGGTCTTACAAACCTAAGGGACAGTTGATGTATTTGTCCAAAGAACATTATGGCTCATCATTTTCTGAGAAACTACTCCGACTCTTTGTGGAACTGTGTGCTGTGCTGTCTGCGCTGGCATGTGATAAAATCATTCCTTGAAATGCAGTGTCCTCCCATTTTTCTTCCAGTATTGTCCCACACAGACCTGTGTGTGCTGTGAAACTTGTACTATATTATATTGTACTTGTATTATATTCCTGCACTGAAGTCTTTGTTTAGGCTTTTTGGTCACTAATTGAGGGTGAAGCCCTCCACATTTTCCCATCTTTTAAGAACATTGGATGCTTTTTCAGAGTTAATCTGAAAGACAGCAACAGTCTCAAAGTGCTTCATGCATTTTAGCAGAAAAAAAAGGAGAATAACCAGAGGCAAGGGCTGCTACCAAGCTGACAGCTACTGGGTGCTGGAGCTAACAGTTACTTGTGTAATTTATTTATTTTAAACGAAGATAGTGTCTTCGTTTTTACATTTCTGACATAATCCCATGTGGGACAGGTAAAATGTTCATCCTTCAGCAAGAGGGTTTCTCTTGAAGTTCCCATATGTATAAAAGATGGAAATCAGCAGCGTAGACCTCCCTCCCCACTTCATTGATGTCTGAGGCCATATTTGCAATGGAAATCCATCCCCATTCTTGCAGTGCGATGAGCGCTCCTGGGTGATGAGCTACCTTGATTTTTACGTGAGTGGACCAAGTGATAACTTAGCCCCAAATTCCTTTATGTACAGACACAGACAGATTGGCTCTCCCCACCACTCCCTGATGCATAATCACTCTTTTATCTGTATTTACAAACCCTTGGAGGATAAAGGCTTTCCACACTTTCAGCTGCTCTCTAATTATTACTCATTTGCTAGCAGTGCTTTGTGATTTAAATAGAAGTGCAAGCTGACCACTGCTTTTTAGTTTCTGTTTTCATATACAGGTCCTCAGTTTTGACTTTCTCCTCATGCCATTGCTCATTGCTTTATGAATAGAAGCATGACTTTTACCAAGGTCTATGCCAATGTGACCAGTAGTTTAACAAATAATAAGTTTTTCTTTTTCTTTTTACATCCTGGCTCAAACCAGGACAATGTCCCATTCTTCTGCAAATGCCATTTAATTCTCTTTGTCCCAAGAAACCATCAGCCAGCTATGTCACTGCAATTTGCAGTAAAATTACTACCTAAAACTAAGTCATATGATTAAGAGCCTCATCCAGATGCTCCCTGGACTCTGGCAGGCTTGGTGCAATAAACACTTCCATGGGAAGCCTGTTCCAGTGACTTAACTTTTTCCTAATGTCCAATCTGAATGTCCCCTGACACAGCTTCAGGCCATCTACTTGTGTTCTATCACAGAGAGGAGATTGGCACCTCCCACTCCGCTGTCCTCTCCTGTGAGGAAGTTGTAGGCTACAATGAGGTAATTCCTTTGCCTTCTCCAAGTTCAAGAAAACAAGTGACCCCAGTTGCTCCTTATAAGTCTTGCCCCCGAGGCCTTTCACCATCTTGGTCACCTTCCTCTGCACACACTCTAGTAGTTTAATGTCCTTACACTGAGGCACCCAAAACTGTACATAGAGTACTTGAGTACTCAAGAGGAGAAAGGTCATCTGCTTCACTGAGGGAGGACAGGGTGGATAGTGGGCACCCCTCCTGACTGTCAAGGATTGTATCATATGCAGGCTCATCCCACTGTAAAGTATGACTACATTTTAAGTGTTAAAACTAGCATCACCTCTAGATGTGTCCTTGCACAATCAATGGAGAGGTGTAACTGGAAAGCATATATGATACACATTCATGTACTCACGTATATATGTAGAAAGGCATGCTGTTCTCATTAGAATTTTGTGTGATCTTTTTTAGCTACAGGTTATTTGAAAATTATTAGCATTTATTTTGATTATACAATTCTAATGATGCAAAATAAAAGGTATGAATCCCATTTAGCTCTTAACAGCTTCTCTCTGTCAGACTTGAAGCTCCAGATACACTCATCTATTTCTTTAGGGAGCCATTTTCTCCATGCCTTTTAAAGTCCTGAGGCCATTATGCTTTATTGGGTTAACTAAGTCTGCTAGACCTTTTTTATTTATCTTCTATGGTACAAGCTATACCATTCTTTCTACGCTACTGTTGTACTTGAGATACAGTCAACAGCAAATGTTGACTTTTTCTGTCAGACACTGCATCTGTCTTCCCTTCTTTAGTTTTTCCTTTGTGCTCCATTATTTTCTGTAAATGCTATTTATTACATACTGTGGTCAGCATTCTGTCAGATCCATCTCACTGCATTTAATTATGCTTTGTTGAAGAGTAGCCAAGCAATTCACAGAAGTTACATGCTTACAGAGCCTTGCTATAGGGTTTTTTTTCCTTCAGCATGAATGTTGAATCATTGAATATCAGCTGAGTTTGAAATTTACCTGAATATGTTTTACTATTCCAAAGAGATTACACAATGGCCCTGATTAGCAGCAGCATTTTGTAATACCACTTAAGGCTTCATCATAGTGGAGTACTGCCAGTAATAGTCTTTAATTCACTTACATGTACCAATTCATCTCTGTCAGGTTACTATTAATTTCTTTGCTGTTTTTCTTTGTCCCTATCCCATATATAATAAGGCATGATTTGCACATTTATGTAGCCTAAATAAATTTTTTTAAAAAATTAAATCTTCAGTAAATTAACTGTGGTGCTTTGATTTGAGACAACTGTGCCATCTCTCCATTTATGTTCACATTTAATCCACTTTTCACAAATTAATGTATTTAGGAGAATCTAGGTGGGTCAAGTGACCAAGGGGCAGTAACAGTTTTACTGGCTAATTTAGATTAAAAGTTTCATGATTGGGTTAGGTATAGTAACTGTAAAGTAGGTGTAGAAACAAAACTGTTCATGTGTACACACACTCACACACACACACTTGTAAACAGCCATGCTATATTCAACATCAATTTTTTTCATCAAAATGAAGGCCAACCTTGGTTACAAAGATGATTGCCAGAGATAAAGAACAAAAGGGCTGCAGACATCATTTTGTTTTATCTGGCACCAGTTTCACAGTGTTCTGGAAGATCTAAACAGTTGGGTTCAGGGTTGGATCTCCAAATTTGTGTGATGAATCAGTGTCTGTGTTTGCTGCTGAAGCAGATCCAACTCTGTATTTTTTCTTTCTTTTTCATCGTTAGGATTGGTGCCAAACATCAGGAGTTAAGACAAAAGCAACTGAGAGGCCTGAGTGATTATTCTGCTGGTCCTGGAGGACCTGACATTGATGATGATGAGGTGGATCCAAATTATGCCAGAGTAAACCATTTCCGAGAGGCTTATCCAGGAGCAAGCATCTACAGACCATCATCGCCAGCAGTAGCAGAAACTTTTATATATCCACGTGATTCGCCTTCAGGACCCATGGAGAGGGAGCACTTGGAAGGACTGTATGCAAAAATAAACAAGCAGCACTACCAACAGACTCCTGGTGACAGGTAATATTGCCACCTGGCATTACAAACAATGATAGTTTGGTGGGGAGGGAGCTGGTTGTTCACATGCTCCAGACTCCTGTATTTACTGACTAGAAAGCCATGTATTTCCTCTTAACCACAACCATAATTTGCTGCAGCAGTACCCCTAAAGCATCTGAGCAAGTCAGCAGTCAAATGGAAATCATTACAGAAAAGTCCATATTTCACAAACAGAATGAATTAACTGACTCCAGTCCAATTCCTGCACTGCTAAGAGTGTTTTTCCCTCTTTCAATTGGGAAAAGTTCTTATCCGCAGCAAAAATAATCTCTTTTTTTTCAGATCCCTTTCGATCCTGCTGATCATCAAGTGCCTATTAGTAACAGGTTTTGTATGATAGCATGATATATTGCATATGTTTATGGTTTAGTTTTCCCCAGCTGTGTGATATTACACACTTTCAATTAGGTTGGGTAGAGGACTGGGAATCATGGCATTTTTATGCAGACTGTGAAGTGTAGCTTCACAAGACTGATTGCCTTTCACAGCCTTTCCAATAACTGAGTGGGAAGGAAAGAGCAATTTTTAATCCTTACTGTCAAGCTTCCAGGTTGATAGCATTAAAGAAAGATGGTCAAGTTTTTCCCTGGGTTAAAAAGAAAACAGAAATTATTTTCAGTTGATGATGTACCCACCATTACAATGTTTTTAAAACTGATTGCTTCTGGATTTGGGGGCTAAAAGAATGTAAGACTTCATTACTATCATGGTGTTAATATATCTGTGATGGGCTTTTCAGACCAATGTATGAATGTGTAGTCCAGATATGCAGGTCTGTGTGAAAAGAAAAGCTGACAGAGTAAGCATGAGGGACTTGAGGAATTGTTCACACTTTGAGCTCGTTTTACAATCTGTAGTGTCTCCCTGTAGCCTCAATCTGTGCTATGTGATACCACACTTGTTAATTTTGGAGAAATATGTGAGCACACATATAGGAGTGTTTTCAGTTTGTGGCATCATACTACTTTAAAAACATCTACTGAGTCATTGTTATAAATAGTAATAAACCACTTCTGACATAAACTGAAGTTTGTAGCAGGGAATAGGCTCTCCTTTTCACCTGAATACGGATGGTGAAGATCTTTCCAAACATAATGACACAGCTTATTTTTTTCTTCCATATTATTGTCTGCCCTTACTGCATAAGGGTGAAGAGGGTGAAATAAGAGGTAGTGATTGCAGCTTTTTGCCATCTAGCAGGTTTTGCTTTACTACAGAAGTCTTGAGGAGATTGTCACTGAAATTGCATGAATGTTTGTATTAGCGGAGAGATCAGAAACTGAGTTCATACTAACTCAGTAAACCAACATCTGTGAATTCCCAGTGAAGGGAGGCTAAATTCAGATTCATGCATTTTTCAAATATGAATATTGATGTAACTCAACTGGTGTAAGATGTCATCACAAAAGTTACTTCAAATATTTATATTTTAACAGGACTTCCTAGCTTTGCATTTTAAAAATGTAATCAGGTCTGAAGTGAGATCTATACATGGTTATTAATTCTTTACTGTTTCTTCTCAAGAGCAACAACAGAAGCTCAGAGCTTTCCCTTGGGCCTCTTTTATTTGATTGTTTGTATCGTGGTTGTAACTACACTGAAGGGACTCTTGACTTGCTACATGGGCGAGACTGAAGTCCCAGCCAGTTTTGGATTCGGTGTTAGGATCCTGGATTTTAGTATAGATCTAGCTGTGATTGCATAGCAGTATGATAACTCAGGGACAAACTAAAACCAGGACATCTAAGAGAGAAGAAAAGTTAACCTTATTTCTGAATCTGTGATCAGAAGTCACACTGAGAGGCTGTTTTGTCTGTGTTGATTCTGTAATGAAAGACACACAGTCCACAGCATCTTTGCTTTGTTGAATTTCTCAGGCTTGTAGAGGCTGTTTAACTAGATTAGGAAAAAATAGGAAATGTGGGATTCTTGTTAGGTTGCCTTTGTTCTTTTTAAAAATCTTTCTTTCCTTTGTCTCAGAGATAAAAATATTGTTACTATTTGCCAGCAGAAATGTGCCAAACATTAATACTTTTTTGTGAATTTATGCAGTGGGTCATGAGGTCTCAGCCATCAGTTGTTGAATATAGTGGCAACTTCAGGCAAGGAAATGTTTCTGTGCTAGAGGGAGAGCACTGAAAGGAGAAAGATGTGAAAATAAAAATCCCTGGATAATATGTTAATTACAAAAACAAATCTGCTTTCAAGGGTCAAGTATGAAAACTACCTTGTCTGTCTCAAAATGATGGGAAAGGGCTATAATGGATGCTTATTAGCCAAACCAGTGTTATTTTGTGTTTGTAGGGCTGAACATTTATCAACACATTTGTCATGTAATAGCTCATGCTTTGGTCTTGCTAACGCATGCATGCTCTCTCTCAAAGTTTTGCTATTATTTTTACTTTAGATGGATGGCTTTTTCTTCCACCTCTGACTCTCAACTTGTAATGTAGTATGTGCAGACTTGATCAGTGACTAAAGTAAATGGGCTTTGGGGTAGAAGCAAGGTTTGAACACAGAGAGAATAGATTATTTCATTTTGGTCTGTGAATTCCTGTTATGTGGCATTATGATAGAGAATTAGAACTCAACATTTGAAACAAGAAGGTAATTTCTATTATATTTTTACAAAAGAATGTATTAACATAATTAATGCCTTGTAAAACATGAAGGCCATTTGTAAATAAATAAGCTTAGTGGTCAGCTAAATGCTATTTACAATTCACATGCTTTCACTCACCATCCCCTTTCTCCTCTTGAGAATCCATTGAGTGTTGCCAGTTCATTCTTCTCAGTATATTCCCAGCTTAAACTGGCAGTCTCTCTCGGTATGCAGAAAAGCAATAGCTATACATGTATGAAGACTGTTGCTTTAATCATTATGTGCCTCCAAGCACAGGTCCTCAAGGCACGCACAGACCTGCTTCATATTGCTGTTTGCATACTATCATCCCCTTAACCTACACTTGCATCTGGCATTTCAGAGGTTGTTTTGCTTTGGGTTTTGGGGGGCTTTGTTCTGTCTTATTTGCAAATGTTGTGTAACGCTCTTCTGCACTGCTTCACAGTTGTTGATTTTTCATTCCGACAATGATTATTTCAGTGAAATAGATGTAATTTTTTGTGTATATTTTGCTGAAAGCTTTGGGATTTTTAACTAAGAGAGGTGCTATATAAATGTAAATTGTCCTTATTAATGAGTATAGCAAAAGCATTAGCATGATCAGTGTAGTCTGTGAATGTTAAGTTAAAAAGAGTGAAAAAAACCTAGCTGGCAAAATCACACATTTCTTTGTAAATCAAGCATTTTTCTGTTTATTTCTAATTAGCCACAATTTTCTGTAATGCAAATGGCATCCCAAAGGATGGTGCAGCCTGCACAGCCACCATGTGCAGCTGGGGAACTTGCAGGTTCTTTGCCTGAGACACTGTATTTCCCCAGCCTGCAGCAGAGGCTGGGTGATCTGTGGCCCATATGTTCCTGAAACAAGTGGCAAGTCACATCTCTCTGAGTTTAGTCATCAGGGTCGTACCATGACAGTGCTAAGTTGCACGATGGCAGAGCCTAGATGTCAGTCCAAAGCCAAAAGAGCATATGCACAACACTATTATCACTTAAATGTCAAGCATGTCACATGGTGCAACCCTTTCTCACGTTTCGAATAAGCAATTTCCTCTTTTTTTCTCCCTTGAACGTGGTGCTGTCAAGTATATCCAAACACACTGAGCACATCTCCAGAAAGGTTCTAGAGACATTGCTCAACTTATTTCCTCAGCCCAGAACTATGAAACATTTGAAGTGTGATGCCAAACTCATTGCCAAGTATAATTCTTCATTTATTTGTGTGTCTTATCATGAGGAATTTCAAAGTGCTGGTCTGACAAAAATGAATACAGTTTTCCTTTGTTTAGCAAGAATAGATTCAGAGCTGTATCTTGTTGCAGATTTAAAAACATACTAATAAAAACCCCAAGGCTGTTTTATTGCATAGGAGTAGAGTCCAAAGGTACTGTCTGATCAAGCTTTCCATTTTTGGAGATGCTATGTTGGGTCCCAAAGTGCAAGGTCTTACACTCTACAGTGTTAATTAATTAATTGAAAAACAGGTCTTCCTTATCTCAGGGTGAAAACTGCCTTATGGTAACTTGCACCCTTCCAGAATGTTCAGTCGAGCAGCAAAGTTGTAAAATGGTGAAATGAAACCCATGTCTCTGCATGACCATAATCTGCCCCTTGCATCTTGCTCTCAGAGATGGCCAGAGTCATAAGAGAGGGAGCAAGACATTGAGTAGTCTGTATCTCCCTGGAAAGTATCAAAGCAAAAGCATTGCTGTGCATGTTCTGAGAAACCAAATGTTAAATGTAAGCCATGGGTAAGCCTGAGAGGAGAGTAAAAGGGGTCTGAAGTTTAGAAATTTAGCAAAAGGAGAATTTTTACTGAAAAGCCAGCTAAATACCTGTCCTTTAGACAAGTGTAGGTCTCTCCCATCCTACTCAATCCAAGGCCACAGGAATCCAGAGCTACACAGAAAAGACTGTATTCAGAAAGTGCAGGTTAGGATTGCCCGAGTATGTAACTTAGCCTTGTATTTTTTAGTCAGCCAGAAACTGAAGTTGTCTTGTTCTCAGTACAAAGTACAGTTGACATTGCTCACTGTGCCATTGCTGTGTGCCTCCACAGCACCTTTAATCACTGAATAGCTAAAAAAGCAACCTGCTGCTCTAGGAGTGGATGGTCCTTTATTCAGGAATGGTTATTCTTTAAGATGAATAGTGTGGAGGCAAGGCAGAAAATTAATGAGGCTGTGTGATACCTACGTACACTTTGCCACTATACCTTGTGTTACATAGGGAATAGAATGATGGGCATGAATTGAAATATTTTTATTTTAAAAGCATGGCAAGTATGATCAAGTTATGTGCTCTCTCTTACCACATAACCTCTTCTCCTTGGTGTCCT